CCTTTCTTCTAAGTCCCTGAACTTTGAAAGTTTCTATTATTAAGGCCATTAATAATATTTCCTCACAAATTAGTCCCCAACTCAACTTTAATATTTTGGAAATTTTGGGATATTACATCCACCCCTCCTAAAAATTAGTTTTGTCCCTAAAACTCAAATCTAGGAGATAAAATCTAAAACTTATATCCAATTAGAAATGGCTAACCTTCTATCTCGTCAATTCTTTCTGGGATAGCATATGGTCCAATATATCTCGGACTCAATTTTTCCCAGAATGATGTCAAAATTTGAGGTATCTAAAACAAACAAGCTAGCACTTAATTATTTACCATCAATATAATATCTATCGTCCTACACACATCTCTAATTGTCATCACCCCTCCTAAAGGGGTGTTCACATGCAGTTCAAAATCAAAATTATCAACAGGTAAAGCTTGTGTCAAAGCATATGATCAAGCAATAAAAAGTGTGATGCACCTGAATCAAATAAAACATGTGCATAATCAGAATTAACAGGCAAGTACCCATGATTACGTTGGTAGCCGCAGCTTCCTGGTGAGTCATCACATGAACTCTCTCCTGTTGGGCTCTTGTCTTAACCCCGACATTCTGTTTTTGCACCTCTTGATTCGTAGAACCTTGTTGAGATGCAGTTTGAGCATTCTGAGCTCTAGGGTCCGGCTGCGGGCAATTTGCAACCCGATGTCCCTGTTTGCCACATCTGAAGCAAGCCCCAGTAAAAACGCGACACTGGTCGCGAGTGTGGCGCACTCTTCCACAAGTGTGGCAAATAGGTGGGGCAGGTTAAGTACGTTGGGCTGCTGATGCTTGACCCATGGTCTTGGCAACCCTTAGCTCTTTAAAAGCCTCGTCGGTATCAAACTCAGGCGGTGCAGAGATTGAGGGTCTACGACTCTCATCACATTCTCTTCTTAAAGGATGACCCAACTTTTTGTGGATCTTGTGTCTTGACCCTAGCCATAGCCTTCTCCTGATCTATGGCTCTGTCTGTTGCCTCTCTATAAGTGGCAGGTTTGAATTGATTCACTGCCAGGTAAATGTCAGGATTCAAGCCCCATAAAAATCTATCAGCTTTGGATTGCTCATCCTCGACTTGACTACCCACAAAAGGCAAATAGCGGTCAAACTCCTTCTTGTACTGCTCAACAATACATGACCCTTGTTTTAGATCTGCAAATTCTCTTTGCAGTTCCCACCTTTTGCTGTCAGGTATAAACTCTTGCATGAACACCCTTTTAAACCCATCCCAGGTGCTTAATTCAGGCTCTCCTTGGTGTAGCTTCAAATAAGTCTCCCACCAAGTTAATGCATC